GGACAGACAGGAAGAGGGCTGCAGCACACAACTACTCATCCTAAATCTTCATCAGGAGCCCTTGGGGGCTTCTTCCCTGGACTGTTTTTCCTTTTCGTTTTTCTTTACCATTTTAACTGTTTAAAGTGGGCAGCTTAGTGGCAGTAGCAGCATTCCTACTGTTGTCCAACCACTACCACCAGCCGTCTCCAGAACATTTGCACCTTGAGAACTGGACTCTCCCCACCAAACAGTGACACCACCCTCCACCCCCGTGCCACCCTCCTATACTCTTGGACTCCTGCAGGGAACTCACATTGATGGAGTCCTTTTGTGACTCATTTATTCCATTAGCACAAAGACCCCAGGGCTCATCCTGGTTGTCTTGTGTCAGCTCTCTTCCTTTCTAAGGCTAATACTCCACCTTGTGTGGGATGTGTACACCACATTGTGCTCACACATTCATCCTCAGTGGGCACTGGGGTTGTTTCCACCTTTTCTCTATTGTGAGCAGTGCTGCTGTAAACATGGCTCTTCACCCATCAAGCAGACTTGAGCCCCTGCTTCTTGGTTCCTTAGGCTTGTACCCGAATGTGGAATTGCTGGGTTGTATAGTAAATCTGGGCTCAATTTCCCAAGGAGTTACCATAATAGTGTCCACGGCGCTGCCCCCCTGATGTTTCTGCCAATGGAGCACAGGATGGGCTTTCTCCACATCCTTGTCAGCACTTATTACTTTCTGGAGGTTTTGATGGGGTGTTTTTTTCCTTTTTTTTGATAGTCCTGATAGGTGTGCCCAACGCTGTTCTTTTATGAGCTGATTTTCTCCTTTAGCAGCTAAAACTTTTGCTTTATCATCTTTTCTGTTTTCTATTCCTTTGTAAGAGACTGAGGCAAAATAGTCATTAGAAATGAAAGCCCTGCCTACGCAGTAATTTCCAGGAGTGTTCTCAAGAAAGCATTACCAGACTTTTCCAGAGGGTAACACACAGGCCACAGAAGGACGCCATGGAAGGGGGTGAGTGGGCTCTCTCTGTGTTTTTGGGCATCTGTAAGAAGATGACCTCAGTGACCCCCTCGTTTGGCAAGGACAGGTGCCATGGTGCTAACAGGCTGCTCATTCTGCTGGGTGGTATTATTTCTTCTTATACTGCTTGTCTTTTAACTTCTCTGTTTCCTGGTTTGTCCCTAAGGAACACTCACCTAAGCAAGAAATGGTGTCTTCCATGCTTTCCTAAAACTTGGCTGATTCAGGTCTGAGTGTAATTATTATACTTCAAAAGTAAAGTTTAGGTAATGCTTTATTTTGAGTAGCTTAATTCTTAGATCCTTATTTTACTTCATTCTTCAGAGTGATCATCAGTTTGATCCAAATTGCAAAATGACAGCAGTTATTCCTTACTGAGAAATGGTGACTGGGGCAGGTGACCCTTTCTGTCTGTGATATTCTGTAACTTCAGTATCTTCAGTATAGTTCAGATAATTAATCTTCTGTTAGAAATGTTTGCTTATATATATTGATATTTTGCACCATATGGGATTCTTTCCTTTTGATGTTCAAATGAAGATGATTGAAGACTTAGACTTCATTCAACTTTCATGTGTAGGTATTGTTTTTAAGAATTTCTGTCTTATAACGATTGCCAGGAGTGGAAAAGTTATAAGGAACTTCTTTCAAAGTTACTTTTTATCTTAGATCTTTGCAAAGCAAGGTCTGCAGACCAGCAAATTGGCATCACCTGTGAGCTTGCCAGGCTTGCAGGTTCTCCAGCTGTGCCCTAGGCCCACTTTATCACAAAGTACCTCAAAGCTTAGTGGCTTCAGACAACCATCGTTTTTTTACACCTCATGATCCTTTGGGATTTAGGCAGGGCTCAGCCTGCAGCTTTTCTGTTCCAGCTGTGGCTTGCAGCTGTTTCCTGGTCTGTGCGCCAGCTTCAGGAGGGCAAGAGTCAAGGTGGGGGCAGAGCAGAAGTGGAGCAGCATGGGGCCTTGCTTATTCCCAGCTTCCACTGCAAGTTGCCCCCTTCAAGTGCAGTTGTAATTCCAAGGCATTTTCAGGAGGTTGTGAATTAGGGTCTAAATTAAGTGCCTCTATTTTCCTTCTCTGTGAGTTTTTCAAGGAGGTTCAGTGTGAGGGAAGGAGGGACTTTGGAAGGTTTGTGATAAAAGCCTAATATGTGTAGCCTGTGGTTTAGATGGATCTGCCGAGAGCGCCCCCGACTCTCACCTGTGGCCCTCTCCTAAGAAGGGATGAGAGTCTTGGGCCTGCATCTGCAGACACCAGCAGGGAGAGGGGGGACACCTACAGGGACAGACACCTGTTGGGGGAGACACCTGTGGGGGAGGGGGATGGCCTGAGCAGCTGCGAGGAGAGGGCAGAGAACTACCAGGAAGCAACAGCTTCTTCAGGAAATCAGATTATTCAAGTGGTGTGATTACCTCCATTTAGAAATTTTTTGAAGGCTTAAAAAAAAAACAACAAAGCCAGATAATAATTTTATGACCACATACCCAAAGCAGAACAATTAATTTTACAATTTCCAAAGTGTATTACGTGCTTTGTCTCCTGAAGGATTGGTTCAGGTGTTCCTATAGTTCCTAGAAACGTGGCTAGCTGTTAAAAGGGTTAAGAAAAGAAAGGTTTTTTTCCTTAATTTCCTTCAAGTTAGTGTGTCTCTTACATGTATATATTAGAATTATGTGGATTGTATTGTTTTATGTGTGATTATTCTTTAGCCTGTCCTTAAATGAGGTCACCCTGATGAGGAAGGGAATGAAAGTTCCTATTCTAGTGTAAAACGCATAGCGTAGTTTCATACTGGTTGGAGCCTGGAGTCAGTTGCTTTGAGAAATCTTGACTTTCGAGGAAGTAAAGTTTCATGTTAATTAGCTAATTTTTGTATCTGCTCCCAAATCCTTTTTTGATAGGAGGGACATCTTCATTATGTAATTATAAATGGAGCATCAGAAACAAGTTTTAACGAGTAATACCTTCCCCTAAACATTTTCGTCCTCAGGAGATAAGACTTCTCAGAGGTTACTGGAAGAGAGAGCTGTCATCGCCTTCCTGTAGCTGCTCGGGTAGCTATTGTTCTTGGTCTAAGTTCTGTCATTTGGGGTGTTTATAACTGTTGTTTTTTAAATATTTTATTTATTCATGAGAGAGGCAGAGACATAGGCAGAGGGAGAAGCAGGCTCCCCACAGGGAGCCCGTTGTGGGACTCGATCCCAGGACCCTGGGATCACAAACTGAGCTGAAGGTAGATGCTCAACCACTGAACCACCCAGGTGCCCTGTAACTGTTACTGTTATTTTGCAAATGGCTCTGTCCATAACGACCGTGTTGAACATTTTTACATAGAAAAATATTCAATATGGAAAAGGTATGCATTTGTTTTTAGTCACAAACATGTGATTCAGGAACTTTGAAGAAAGGTTTCTAGGACCAGACTAACCCCAAAGTACCTAGATTACATGTCTGCCATACAACTGTATTCCTCTTTCCTCCCCAGGTTCTCCCCGCTTCCTCAGTGTGGGACTTGTCACCTTTAGGCTGAGTTGAGAGTAGACCTCAGGTAATGTTCTTCCTAAGTCCCAAGGATGTAGGCTTAGCCACACAAGATGCTTCTTTCCGAGTTAGACTGCAGGTGGTGGTGAGGGGTAGCAAGCTGGCCCGTCCTGTCCGTCCCACAGACTTCCTGGCCATCTCTTTCTCATTAAGCCTCCACGGTACTTAAGGCTGAGAAAGTCTGTGATGGACTTTAAATATGGAGAATATAGGCATTTTACTGAAAGTTGGTGCTATTCATGACTCACTTTGCTTATGCAGGTATAGTAATGCTCTTTCCTGGAAATCTTAGATTACAGCTCTACTTTTTTTTTTTTAAGTTTTATTTAAATAATCTTTGTAGCCTACATGGGACTGTCACTGACAACCCTGGGATCAAGAATTGCATGTTCTACCTACTGAGCCTACCAGATGCCCCTGTAGCGCTACTTTAATCATTTGTCCAAACCAACCAAGATTTAGAGGAAGATTTTCTAAGAAGTGGTTAGTTGGATATTTTGCATTTAAAAGAATCTGTTGCCTTAAGTATTTGTTTTTCGCATTAGTCCATCTCGACATATATATGTAAACACATAACTAGGAAATTATTTTATTGTAACTGTTTTTTATTGTCTACAAGTGGTGAGCACTTGAGATTAAAGCAGGCTATTATAGGTTGTCAATTTTAATAGAAAACTCAGCTTAATATACGTGTTAATGTCAAACATACAGAAAGAAAGAAACATTAAACTTACAGTAAACAGAGAATGAGTCAGTATTCCAAAAATTATGGCTTAGGTTCGTATTCTCATGCAGCCCTATGACTCAGTGGCCCTGTTTGCTAAGATGTCATCTTCAGCCTGAGCCTTGCAGCATAGGTCTGTGTCAGGGAAGATAGAGAATGTGGACTCGGGTTAGTGCCGTGTAGATTTTCAGCGAGCTCAGATCAGGGGAGGGTCTCTCCTTAGGTGTGCTTGTCCTGACTACACCTTGAGACATGCGGAGTCCCCATGGTGCTCATTCTGACTCTTCCCGCTCTTACAGTGGCAAAGCAGGTCACCTGGAGAGCACTACAGCCCTTCCTCTTGAGACAGGGTGTTCAATTTGTATTCATCACTTAGAAAGTCCATTGACCCACTTTCTAAACATAAATGATGTATACAAATAGCATCCTGGTTGGTTCAGTAAGGTTTGAAGGAAGCCCGATGTGTATGAAAATGAGAGTTTTGGAACTACTGTTCACTAGAGGGTAATCATTGACATGTCTGAACCACAAACACATGGGTCTCCTTTTAAGGGATTTCCCCAGAGTTATAAGAACACATGGGTAGGGGTTAGTCCTCATGCTACACTTGGGTAGGACTGTGAGTTTTATTAAGTGGATATTGGTGTGCTAAAAAGTGGTCACTTTTTGTTTGTAGTGGAAAAAGAAACTGGGATTTACTAACTGGCCTTTCTCTCTTTTTGCCAGACTTAGAAATGGCCGTTGCATACTGGAATTTAGTATTATCTGGAAGGTTTAAGTTTTTAGATCTTTGGAACACCTTCTTATTGGTAAGTGTCCTGCTTCCTACTGTGTGCACGCAGTGTGAGGGGGTCAGCAGGTTACATGGCTGTCTCTCTTATCTGACCAAGGTATTCTGGCCGGATATTGGGTCATGGGAGTTCTGGATGGTGACCATGTGGCCTTGCCATCATACATGGTGCCACGGCCACTGAGCTCTAGCCTGGTGGTCCCGAGGCCAGTGTCAGAAGCAGCTTGGGAGCCACCCAGAACCCCCAGGCTAAGGTCTCAGGTGCCCACAGACCTAGGCAGTCATCTTTCTACCACCTTCTCTAAGAAGCTGTAACTAACTCATTCTGTGCTTTCTTGGGGGAACTTGAAATTCCTAAAGAAAGCACCAGTAACACACATCCTGTACATTGATACTGTAACCCCGTGCCTAGTGTGTTGATAATTGGGTACATTTTTAAATGTGTTTTACAGTGTTCAGAAGGAAAAGGAAGGCTTAGGTGGCCCCTTATGAGAGAGTCTGTCTGTGTTGGAGGCAGGCCTTTGAGGGGTGCCAGGTCTTCTTACTGGGGCGGCACAGCTGAGCTGGAAATCAGGGAAACAGGTGTCACTGTGTGACTGTGGAGCACAGGGTCCTCGCTCCAGAATAAATAGTCACGTGGTGTAGACATGTGGTGCTGTATGGGTTCCTTTGTGAGCGTATGAGGGGGCAGGCCTTCTCACTGCACAGACCCTGGCCTGGCTGAGGACCATCTTCCCATGGGGTCCTCCTGGAAGCAGTGTGGGAAAACCAAGATGCAGCTTCAGAGCCGCGCATCACATTCACTCTGCTCCACCACTTCCTAGTTTGGTGGCTAGTTGACCCCACTTGCAGACGTTCCCCCAGAGAACCTGCATAGGTGCCCAGAGATGGGGCAGTGTCACAGCAGCATGTGGGGAACAACCAAAGATCCCTATGCAGGAGTGCGGGTAGAAGGTCAGACTGTCACCACAGGAGAAGGCCCCCAGAGCTCAGTGAAACTAGCACATCCCTTTGTGATGTCAGCCTGCCACACGTGGAGCCTAGATTCCAGGGGCAGAAAGCTGTAGAAGTCTACATGGTTTGGGGTAGCTTGAGATAAATGCACAGACAGGCCTGAGTGGGGTGCCTGGTCCCTTCAGGAGGGAGCACTGTGCTAGGTGGTGAGGGCAGGAGAGAGTGGTGCCCACCTGGGCTGCGGGGTTGTGCAGTGGGAAAGTGAGCCACAGACGGGTGGGTGTTCTCGGCAGGTTTGGTAAATCTCAAATACCAAATGACACAGTTGTAGACAACTGCCCCCATCCCACCGCAAGCACTGCCAGTACAGAGGGGAATCAGTGGTCTCCAGGAGCAGTTTGCTATGGTCCTGCCCTGGGTCTGAGTCAGGGGTTAGGTCGAGACTGAAAGGGCTGCCTGGTGTTTGACTGAAACAGATTATAATCTTTGCATTTTAAATGTTTATTCGGTTGTTTAAGTCTATCTTTCCATTTTTGCACGTTGGTGGTAGGTAGCACCTAACATTTCCCTGGAAGCCTTATTGTTACTGACAGCAGAGTGTGAGCACAGGTGCTGTTCTGCGTCCATTGTGTCCCGAGCCAGCTAGACAGCTGGCACTCCTGAGGAGCACGTCTGGTTCTCAAGTCTGCTGGGTTTTTTTCTTTTATGTATTAGGAGCATCACAAAAGATCAATCCCAAGGGACACTTGGAACCTTCTGCTAGATTTTGGAAATATGATTGCAGATGATATGTCTAACTATGACGAAGAAGGTACGAGAAGTCCTAATGCTTCAGCTGATGGCCAGAATTGCTGCCATGCGCCAGCACCCCCACCCCCGGGCACAGGACGTGCCAACCATCCTGCTGACTCCGGGCCCCACCCCTCGGTGCAGTGGGAGTGATGGTGGTAACAATTATACCCACTGTAGTATGTCTGTCAACCACAAGAAAGAAAAATAGGCCTTCAGAGTAGTTTAAATCAAGAGGAGAGGCCCCTAAACTGAAAGCAGCTCAAAGGTAGTGGTACAGGGAGCCAGGCAGCTGAACCGCAGAACCAGACAGTTGTCTGGAAGGTGCCACCCAGGTACATAATCCCGTGTGATGCCTCAGGTTAGTGGTTCTGTCAGGTTACATAAGCCTGAAGATTCCAGTGGTACTTCCCTTGTAAACATAGTTGCTTATGTTGTGGTCCCTCCCCCCAGATATCTCAGGACGCTGGGCAGGGAGCATTTGTATGCCTGCCTCCGTGGGCACTGTGCCATGTTAGGGAAGAGGCACAGTCGGCCCACCCGCCCTGTGATCCTCAGTGCCCAATGTGGAGGCAACCCTCCAGGGCACATCCTCACCTCCTTTGTCTTTGCTCTGGCAAGCGAAGGCTCAGAGCCACAGTGCTCACTGCCCTGGCCTGCAAGCCTGTGTGTGGCCTTAGCACCTGGCACAGAGCAAGCACTTCGTAAACGTGTGTGAGTGAACGGGGGATATTTGGCTCTTGGGACCTTAGATAGGGTGGCAAGACATGGTCTGCAGAAAGAGAGCTGGCAGCTTACAGCATGTGTGCCTGGCCAGCGGAGATGTTGGGGCCACTTGGAAGTGTGGGGGTGGCCTGGGCTGGAGCGGGGGGAGGGCACCCAGTGTGGCCAGAGGGTCCTGACCACCTGGGACGGGGACGGGACCTTGCGGCCAGCTAGCCCCACCTGCCCTGTCATTAGAGGCCACACAGCACACAAGTGCAGTCTGCACAGCACACCAGTACTCGAACCCAGGTCTGGCTAAAGCAAGAGAAGTGGGCTTCACTGGTCAAATCCTTCAGAAAAACAGGCTGTGAAACTTAAACTCACTTGAGTTCTTGAAATACAAATATTGACTTGAGAATTCTCTGAATATAAAAATACTACTCTAAACTGTTGATTTTTTAAAAGTCTGTGTGTTTGCTTTCCTGTAGGAGCATGGCCTGTTCTCATAGATGATTTCGTAGAATATGCGCGACCAGTCGTCACGGGCAGTAAGCACAGCCCTTTCTAGGCAGAAAATTAAGATGCGTTAAGATGCTGAGAGGAAGTGCCTCCTGCAAGGGGACGCTTGGCTCGTCACTGGCCGGGAGTGGTCATCAGCTGGCCAGGGCGTGGCGTGGCCTCTCCCTGCTACAGAAAGGGTTGAGTTGGACACAGAAGGAGCGCCTCGGCAGACGTGGCTTTGGGAGGCCTGGGGTGGCCCTGTGGCTGTTGCTTTAGAAGATTTCTGCATGGTTTTTATTATACTTGTGAAAAGTAACTCAGCCTGTTTGCAGAGTGGCAGAGCCTGCTGTTTAATTCATGATGTCAGGTGAACACCAGCAGGGACCATAGCTCCTGCTGAGCTAGCTTGCAATTCCACTTAAAAAACGGGATTTGTGTCCTTGGCAGGACGTTATAATTTTTATGCTGGTAACCATGTGCCCTAAAGAAGATCTGACATGGATTCTAACATTTTATAAACTTGGTGCCAAGAATTCAAGATTTGTATTTTCTGAATTATCAAATATCTAGATTTATTAGGTCTATTTTTATTTTAATTCCCTGTGGATGTTCCCATGAAAGTCACTGCACAGCTCTCACTGTGTCACAGTTTGCCCAGTGATGGCACATGCGGGGTGTGACTCCAGGGACATGTCACAGTAAACCGCTGACAAATCGGTGGCTCTTTTCCTTCCAATGTCATTTGGACGAGCTTCCTAATAAGTTTTATAAAGTGTGTTTTTTTAAAAAAATGTATTTTATTACATTTAAGAAGACGTTTTCCCATGAAAATATTTCTTTTACAAGCAACAAATTATAGATTTAAAAGTCAAGTGAGTTGGTCCTTTCTAGCGGTCCTTGAGGCCTGTCACCCACCCTTTGGTCGTGTGCATGGTTGTGAACATCCAAAAGCCACAGCACACATCGTCACCCAAAAACACCCACATGGAAACCTCCCCTGTTTCCACCTGAAGCCCGTGCTTGTCATGGTGCCCTCTGGTTCTTCGGTGTTTGCTGTCCAGAGAAGCACATCCGGTGAGGCACGGACGCCCTGACATGCCATCCGAAGGTGGAAGGCCTGTGATGCCACCTGATTTCCTTTTGGAAGAAACTGTGTGTTCTGAACATCACTCTGTGGACCCTACCTCATATGTGAAAAGATCTTCATATCACAAGTGTGCCTCCTGCCCACCTGCAACCCACCTGACAAGTCAAATGAATTGGGGTCACTTGGTGGGAGAGAAGTAGTTCCCTCTGACTTTCTGTAAATGGACAGTGTGCCTGAAATGTGTACTTGAGTTGACTTTTTGGAGATGTGGTTCAGCATTTAAGGAAGTGTCTGTGCCCAGGGAGGGGGGTTTGCATCCTTGCTGTGTGTGAACTGTGTATACTTCAGAGACAGCAGGCTGTGTGGGGCCCAGGAGGGGGCTTGAGGCCTGGACACCACAGTCGGGGCTGGGGCGGTGCCTAGCAAGGGGCATGACAGAGTCACCTGGCTTCTCCACGGCTGTGGAGGAAGAGGGAGGGTGTCTCTGCCTGCGAGCCTGTGGCTGTAAGAGCACTTATTCTTATATAATAAATCTCCACAGTTTTAAACATCCTCCAAGGCTTCACAGGTTCTTGCTACATAAGTGTTCTGCTTGGATGAGGCTGAGGAACTTGGGTAATCTTGCACGAATTCTGGAGGTCCGCAGCACCTTCTCATTGTTCATATTCAGCGTTATGGTGGGGAAGTTCTATGTGCTTGTTTTTTCAGTAGATGACACAATCCTAGTGGTTGGACAAAGGCTCTTCAAAAAACTGTGGATTTCTTTTTTTGCTATTACACATATTTAAGGCATGCATGCTATGGAAGTACTGAGAGCTTCAGAAACATTAAAATAAATTATTTTTTCTGGTGTGGTATAGTGTCCTTCCAGTTGTGTTCTCAGTGCTCCAATGCTGGGTGCCACAGGACCCACAGGAAAGCAGCCCACCCATATGTGGCCTGTGCCCCGGCTTAGAGGCAGCATCCCCCAACAGATGGCCAGGCCAGTAGTCTCCTTTTCATCATCACATGGTGTGCTAACTAATGTGGTTGTTTCCATGTCAAAATTAGAGGCTTTCCTTGAACTGATGGGAATTATATCCCAGAATACACTGAAATGCAAACTGCAAATGTATTAAGAATGCACAGGTCACCCAAATCTAATAGTTTAGTAAAGACATGTTACCTGTGCCTTCATGGAGCGCCTGCCAAGAGTTCCTGGAACAGACACGGCCCCATCTGCCCATCTTGCAGACGTATGCACGTTGCCACATCACCTGAGCTCGCGCATGTCTAAGTGCAGCACTCTGCCCCTCAGACTCCAGGCTGCGTGGTGGGCGGTGCGCCTGGGGCTGCAGGCACACATCCAGGCTCGGTGAACACCGCTGGGCAGTGTGGAGCCAGCAGAAGAAATGAGCTGCAGACCCCCTCCGCCCTGCACTGTAGCTGTTTCTGCAGGACGACCTCTTCCACTGCAAAGGGCGGCTGGCTGGCTGTCCTGCCTCACCCCCCAGGGCTGTCCAGGCTGGCTCTGCAGGACCCTGCTAGCTGGAGGAACATGCCAGAGGCTCCTTAGTAACGGACGCTGATTGAACACTTCTCATGCTCAAGCACACCTCAGTATCTAGTTATTACCCAAAGAAAATGCTATTTTATCAAATGTGCTTCTCAAATCCAGATGCAGCGGGTTCCACTTCTGGTCTGATGAGTGACCAGGCCCCAGGGGCGAGGGGGAAGCGTGGACCTACGTCAGGGCCAGCAGGTAGGGGGCTGCTTCCTACTCCTGATTTCAGACCTATTCACACCCTAGCCTGCTGCTGAGCATCTCTTGCACAGGTCTGGGGTTGTCTGGACACAGTACGGAGCCTGGCATGGGTGAGCCCTGTGAGCCCCTGCACTGGGGCCAGGGGTGCTTCTCTTCTTTGTCCTGGACATTTTCTAGGTTTTCTACCAAACACAGCTCATAATCAAAAAAGTTTCCCAGAACACAAAACTGCAAGGAATGAATGAAACTCAGCGTTCTGCTAAGTGAGAGAAGCCAGGCACAAAGGCCGCAGAGTATAGGGTCCTACCTACTTGAAATCTGAGGAAGGGCAAAGCTGTCCAAGCAGAAAGCACAGGAGCGACTGGGACTGGCGGGGCGGTGTGCACAGAGTGCTGGTTGTGACAGGCTCACTCCGCCTAAACTCCACCCTGAGGCCTCAGCTGCACGCACGTCTTCCAGAACACTGGCAAGGGCTCGTGCTTGGAGGGTCGTGGCCCAGCGGGAAGCAGCTGCAGCTGTCGCAGAGGCCGTCTGGGCTGCTGGGTGTGGAGCCTGCGTCTGTGCTGACGCCTTCCACGTGGTCCCTCGGCAGGCACAGGGCACAAAGGGGCTGGGGCCTGTCATTGGTGCCACCGCGGAGCAGAGTAGGCGTGCCTGGCCGTTCAGGGAGCTCCTGGCCACTGCACAGTGACCATCGCAGAGGTCAGGGGGGCGTGCTGAACGCCGCGGAGCACGAAGGCTGGGCACTGGCAGCCCGGTGGCCAGAAGAGCTGCTTCCCAATGGAGAAGTTCAAGGCGGCCATGCTGCTGGGGGCCGTGGGGGACGCTCTGGGGCACAGAAACGCCCGCAAGGACAGCGGTGCCCCTGGCAGGAAGGCCAGGGAGGAGCTGCAGACAGGCGGGGACCTGGACCACCCGTCCCCAGAGAAGTGGTGGGTGAGTGACAACACCATCATGCACCTGACGACAGCCGGGGCCCTGACCACAGGTAAGCTGGTGGACTGAAGTCCTCCTGTGGGCACCCAAGCCCCAAAGATGCCACGGCCCCTCTACGGACTGTCACCTGGTGCTGTGGCTGAAAGGGGCGACCTTGCAGGCGTCTGCGTCCCCTGCCCCCGCAGATGTGCCACTCAAGGTCCCTTTGGGTTGTCACCCCACATGTCTGCCCTCAGCCTCTGAAACAGTGGCCTCTCGCTCGTGTCTGTGTCCAGAGTTAAACCAGTTGAATTTCCCACTTTGAGGCTGTTTGGGGAGAGGGTTTGAGTTTTCACTGCAGATATTAAGCCTTCTGGTTTTATTTCAAAAGAATAGAAAATAATAAGCCCACTTCAAATTTGGACCTCTTATGATAATAGTTTGGGGAGTATTTCTAAATCCCAGTGAGTCTGAGTCAAAATGCCATCTACCAAAATAAGATCCAGATATCTGCTTAAACACAAACATGTCCTGAGAAGATGCTGTGAAAGTGGCTGGCCAGGGCGGAGACTTTCCAGAACTGCTCTTCAAGGAGCAGGTGGATGGTAGGATAGGGTTTTGCACGACTTTCAGGGAAGCAGTGAGTGTATCATGCATGGCTTCCAGACGAGGTACCTGTGCATGTCGGTAGTGTGTGGTCTCAAGGTGAATGTCTGGGGTGATGGTGCAGGCACTGAGGCCTGGCCTTGGGCCCCAAACTGGGGGCTCGCTCAGCTTAGCTCTGTGCTCATCCTGCAGGAATGCCATCTGCGCCACAGCTGGTGCCAAAATAACTAGGGTGAGGGCTGAGGCACCACAGATAAGTAGCGTCCAGCACGTTGTGTGGTGAGGTCCCTTTCCGAGTTTACACAACTGTGACATCCAAATATTTCCAGTTTCTCGTATTCCCAGGCTAACCTGCGTTCTGGCCGCTGAAGCAGGGGTGCCTGCCCGACTGTGGGTGTGCTCTCTCCCCTGAGCAGAGCTGGCCTGTTCGGGCTGCACACATCTGGTCCTGACTGCTACACCCGCTCCCTCCACGGTATCAGACGCCAAGCACATGTGTACGCACTCCGTATGTCCTGTCCCTTTTGTGAATGGCAGAGTCTGTGGCCTGTCCCTGCCTGTGGAGGCACCCCTAGGACAGACACCAGCGAAGTCAGGTCCTCCTGACTGTGACGTGCTCTCTGAGATTAGATTAGGCCCTCTTGACAGAAATAGGACATAATCTGCCCCAACGTGAAATATGTGCATGCGGGAGGGCGGGGGTGCCTGGGGCATCATTTCTAAGCAGAGACGTGACCTCCCCCTCCCGTCGGCTGGCCACGGGGAGACACTTGTGAAGACCGCCCATGACTCAGCCTCCAGAAGCACAAGCAGGCATATTGTTTTCAAGTCACTAAAAAATCTAAATTGAAATTCTATTTAAATTTAGTTGTCAAAGAGCTGGATCTTTTTTCTAAAAATAGCAAATTGTAGCCTATAAAAGGGGCTTTTGAGCCATATTCACGGTGATGCTGATGTGGCACTGAGTATTGCCAGGCACTTTTATGACTCTGTGCATCATTATCTGACCCTCACATCACCCTGAAGGTGACATCATGACTACAGTTGTTCAAAGAGCAGTTCACGGAGAGGCCGGGTTACTTGCTCAATGCCTTATGACCAAGTGAGCGTCCAAGCAGGGACTGGGATGCTTGTAGGACCCTGATGGTTAGTGGCTCTTCACTGTTTCTCCCAAAAACACAGACTTTCACAAAGTGGAACCATGGGTTGAAAATGCATGTCCCACTGTTCCGTGCCATGGCTCAACCAGCTACGTGGCTGTGTGGTCCTGCTACTGTGAGTGAGATGTGGGAGTCCAGGACATCCGTGGGACCTGGTCCTCTGGGCTGGGTCTCTCGAAAGTGCAGATTGGAAGAGATCAGACACTGGCCTGGGAAGCAGTGCCCCGTTCCCCATGGGGTGAGTGGCAATCCAGTAAACATAGCTCGCCCAGCCAGCTTGCTAGACACACTGACCAAAGGCTCCCTCTTGTGTGTGGTCCTGTGTTCGTCACCCAAGGATGAGACGGAGGCTCTGCCTCGGGGCCCCTGGGGCCTGGCTCTCCTGGCTCACCGCCCACTGACCCGAGAACTCTTGAGCCTGCTTCCCCTCCTGCAGGGTGCATGGGGAAGCTGATGCCTTCATCATAGGGTTGAGATTAAGTAAGGCAGCATGGGCACTTAATACATTAATAAGGGAAGATGGCTCCTGGCAGGTTAATGTCTGTCTCTCTAAATGTCCTGGTCTGCAGGTCAGCAGCTCCAATGGCCATGGCCAACTGAGGTGGCCTGTTGCCATGGCCGCTCAGAAGCAATAGGGACACGAGCCCACGGGGGATAGGGCAGGTGCTGTGGGCATGACCATACCTGCAGGGGAGGTGGGGCCAGGCCCACATGGGAACCAGAGAGGCCTGTCCAGACTCCCCTCTCTCTCTTCCTCCATCCTGGCTCCCTGACAGTAACTGCATTTTGAAAAGTTGACATTTTTGTGACAAAGCAACTTGATAAGGGTATTGTGCCTTTTCTTTATCATGACCTTGGTTTCATGAGCGGATTTGTCTTTGAGGAGACAGGGTGGGGAGGGTGGAGAAGAATGAGCTGAAGAGCTTTGTATGGAGTGGAGAAACCCTGACAAGTGGGTCCGAGGCATTGCAGCTTCAAAACCTCTGTTTCTAGTTTGAATTCTAACCTGAAACAAAGCAGGAGACTGGTGCCATTTTGTTTTTAAGGAGGTTTTTAAGTTTTTCCTTGAGAAGGATGAGATTCAAGAATAAAATGAATTCTTTAATGGCCTCTGGAAAGGCCAGGCTTCCTAAACCTGGATCGAGAGGTGCTGGTGACCTGGAGCCGGGCTGATCCTGGCGGTTCACAGGCCCAGCAGCTGCATGCCCCACACCTGCGTCTGGCCACACACTCCACCCCAACTCAGAATCAGGCCATGCACGGTGTGTCCATAGGATGCCTGCTGCCTAGTTAGGGACAGAAGGACTGAGGACCAAGTCCTGCTTCCAGGGCACGAGGGCCCACCTGCCCTACTGGCAGCAGCAGGGGGAGAGGTGGCGGCGTACCTGTCTCCCACACCTCCATGCTGGCATCTCGGCCTGGGAGTGGCTGAGAGGGGACCTCCCTCTCTCTCTCCCTCCCTCCCTCCCAGCCTCTTCCCCTCCCCCATGCCCCTCAAAGTTGGGGTGTGCTCCTTGAGCAGGAGAGGGGCAACCCCGGCTCCTGAGGCCTGAAATGCAGTTTGGGTACAGTATGAGTTTGCTGGTGGCTGTAAAGGTCACACTGGCCGTGCACCATGTTCCTACCCAGCAGGTCTGGCGCAAAGGCTCCCTCACCACCCGGCTCTGCTCCCTGATGGAACAGGCACACTAAGCCCCAAATTTGGAGCTATAAAGCCTCTGTCCACCTCACTGTAAGTTTATGTAATGCAAGAATGCTGAGGCTCTGCCATCGAACCCCGTTTGCCATCTCTGGCCTTGGGCAAGTGGCATAACCCAGTGAGCTTTGCCTGTGAAACCCAGCATGACAAGTAAGAGCCTGATGGTGTCTGACAGTGTCTGATGGTGTTGGGTGGGTAGGGGTGGGGGCATGTGCAACCATCTAGGGGCCGTGCATCCCAGACAGCAGGTGGGCAGCATGTTAGCCCCCCTACCCTCCATTTCTGTGATCCTCGAGGGACTGAGACTGTGCTCATCCCCAGAACGCCATCACACACATGCCTGCCTCATAGCCTCAGTTCCCAGGATGGAGACACGAGATTTTAGAAGCCTGAGGAACAGGCAGGTTTCAGGCCAGCCTCTCTTTGCGTTAACAGGAATTGTTAGAGGGAAATGAAGATTGTGGGTTCTGTCTCAGTTCTCCTATGTAACCAGAATGAGAAGCACAACGAATTATAATGTCTGAATTGTAAGTCAGATCTAGAGTGAATTGTCTGCTACACTTCTCTAGGGAGCCAGGATCGTGAGGTAGAGCTCCAGAATCTTCCTTCTCTTCTACCGGCTTGGGGACATGAAGCTCACTGCCATTGTGTGGTCCCTGCTCACTGGGGCCTCCTCAATCTGACCCTGCCCCACCCCTTCTTCCCCAGACTACTGGTGCCTGGATGACCTGTACCGGGAGATGGTAAAGCGCTATGTGGAAGTCCTTGAGAAGCTTCCAGAACATTGGGCTGATCCAGCTACCCTGGAAGGCTGCTCCCAGCTGAAGCCAGACAACTACCTCCTTGCCTGGCATACACCTTTCAATGAGAAGGGTCAGGGAAAGCCTTCTTTTCCTTGTGAAGCACGTGCTGCAGAGCTACCTGGATACTAACCCGTGTGTGGTCCCACTAACCAGCAGCATCGCAGGTTTGCATGACAGGGGGATCTACTGGGGCATAAATGTCTCCAGGATGCTTTGATGTGTTTATAGGTGATATATTTACATAGGCAGAGTGTCTGCCTCTAGGGTACCTGCTCCTGGGGTCCCAGATTTACCCCTCCTGGGTTTATAGGGTTTACAGACAATGAACTTGCCCCTCTAGGTTTATGCTGAAGATGGACCACCCACCCTGGGTTTATGCTGAGGATGAACCACCCCCCCTGGGGTTTATGCTGAGGATAGACACCCCCTGGAGTTTATGCCGAGGATGGACACCCTCTTGGGTTTATGCTGAGGATGGAGCCCCCTTGGGTTTATGCTGAAAATGGACCCCCCCCCCCGCCTTGGGTTTATGCTGAGGATGGACTTCCCCACCTTGGGTTTATGCTGAGGATGGACCCCTCCTTGTTTTTTTTTTTAATATTTTATTGATTTATTCATGAGAGACACAGAGAGGCAGAGACACAGGCAGAGGAAGAAGCAGGCTCCATGCAGGGAGCCCGATGTGGGACTTGATCCCGGGACTCCAGATCACATCCTGAGCTGAAGGCAAACAGACATTCAACAGCTGAGCCACCCAGGCATTTCCTCCCACCCTTTGGGTTTATACTGAGGATGGACACCACCCCCACCTTGGGTTTATGCTGGGGATGGCATCCAATCATGTTATGTGGCACGAAAGAAGAGAAAAATCAATAAATCAAAACCAATTAAATCTGATGTAAATGTTAGAATTCTCAAACAGATATAAAATATTATATATTCCATAGGTTGAAAAAGTTAAGGACATGGATTTATAAAAAGAACCTAAATCACATTTCCAGAAAAAATGTTACAGTGTCTGAGGTTTTAAATGCATTGGCTGAGATTAATAGTAGATTAGACATTTTAGAAGAAAATTTTCATATCTAGGCACAGCAATAGAAACAACCCAGAATGGGACACACAGAGAAAAACAGAATCCAAAAATATAAGAGCAGTAGCGAGCCATGGGCTGTCAGCATACACTGCACTCTTCTCCTTATTATTAGTTTTGAACAATTGGATTGCCATGTGCCACAGTGTAGCTTTGAGTGTGACAGAGTCCCTGACAGAGCAAAGGGGAACAAAGAAATGATTTGAAGCAATGGTGGCCAAAATCTCAGTAGACATAAACAGACATTTTTCCAAAGAAGACCTACACGTGGCTAACAGACACATCACTGGGCATCAGGGAAATACAAACCAAAACCACAATGAAATACCCACCTCACACCTGTCAGAATGGGATGAACAAGTCAGGAAACAACAGGTGTTGGTGAGGATGTGGAGAAAGGGGAACCCTCCTGCACTGTTGGTGGGAATGCAAGCTGGTGCAGCCACTCTGGAGAACAGTGTGGAGATTCCTTAGGAAGTTGAAAATAGAGCTACCCTATGACCCAGCAATATCACTGCTGGGAATTTACCTCAGAGATACAGATATAGTGAAACAATGGGGCACCTGTACCCCAATGTTCACAGGAGCCATGTCCACAATAGCCAAACTGTGGAAGGAGCCTAGACATCCAGCAACAGAAGAATGGATAAGGAAGAGGTGGTCTATATATATAATGGACTATTACTCAGCCATCAGAAAGGATGAAATCTTGCCATTTGCGATTAATTACATGGATGGAACTGAAGGATATTACTCTGAGTGAATTAAAGTCAGTCAGAGAAAGAAAGACAATTATCATATGAGCTCACTCATATGAGGAATTTAAGGGACAAAGCATGAACTTAGGGGAAGGGAGGGAAAAATAAAACAGGATAAAATTAGAGAGGGATACAAACCGTAAGAGTTAACTCTAGGAAATAAACTGAAGGTTCCTGCAGGGGAGGTTGGGGGGGCGGGATCACTGGATGGTGGACATGAAGGAGGGCACGTGATGGACTGAGCACTGGGTGTTATATAAGATGAATGAATCACTGATCTCTACCTCTGAAACCAATAGTACGCTGTATGCTAGCTAACTTGAATTTTAATAAAACCAAAAAGAATAAAATTAGTGCCCAAATCTCCAAATTTGTCGAAAACCGTAAACCCACAGATTGAAGAAACTCAGTAACTTCCAAGTAAAGCACAAGAAACATGGGAAAGCTACACTGTGGCACATGGCAATCCAACTGTTCAAAACTAATAATTAGGAGAAGAGTGCAGTGTATGCTGACAGCCCAGGTGAGGAGGGGGCAGGTCTCCTGTCGGAAGTGATGTCATTCAGGCACCGAAGGAAACAACTTCACCCTGGAGTTCTACTCCCAGAGCAGTATCTTACAGATACTGTTGTTAACGGCCAAATAACCTTTTTCAGGCACACAAAAGCTGTAGGATCCATCACCAGCAGAGTGATGCTATAAGAAAGGCAAAGGGATAACCGCCATTCTGCAGAATGAACCTAACACTAAGAGGAAAGTACAGAAGAAGTGTGGCGGAAATCACAATCACATGGGTAAATAGGGGAGAGTTTTACTACTGAATCTCTTTGAAAGATAATTGACTTAAAAAACTAGTAATGCTCTTCGAGTTTATCAAATGCTTGTGAGCAGGTGTCTGACAGTGTGGTGGAGGCCTGCGGCCACAGGGTGCTTGTCCGAGGCATGGGGTGGTTCAGCCCTAGAGCGGTCATTAATATCACAAAACAGTTATAACTAACAAGAAAACAAAAGAGAAAATGGAATCTTTTAGAAATACTTGCTGGGGAAACTGCCACAGGTGGCCTGTGCCCTCCTGCCCCCTTGCCTAGCCAGGGCCCAGCCCAGAATGTTTCCATCTGGGGAGACCCGTGCGAGGCTGTCCCTCTGCCTTGGAGTCCTCCACCTCACTAGGGGAAAGCTTTCTGTATTCTGGGTGTACATCACAGGCCCTAACCAGCCCCACTGATGCCTCCGCCCCGCAGGGGGAGAGCGGGTCTTAGCTGCAGTACCAGCATGTGTGCAGCCCACTGCCCCACCTCAGCCTCAGGAGGGACCCTCTGCTGTGGGAGACAGCACACAGCCCGCGTGGATCTCCCCGCACGTCTTCTCTGTCCAGGGAGGGAAGCGCCAGCCATACGTCTCTTTGTCACATCTTCCTCGGTGACTCCAGACCAGAGAAAAGGGCCGAGGTCTGAGGCTCCTTTCTTGGTGGCAGGCACCATCCTCCAAGTGGTAGGAATCTTCACCCAGGTTGGCAGCTGATCTCACTGCTCTGTAATGTTCAACCCAACAGGCAGACAAGAGAGGAAAGGAAACAAAGGGCGGTATAGCAGACCTCACCCTAATCCCATCAGTAATCACATCAAATGTAAATGGTCTAAAGTCTCCAAATAAACGGCAGATGCCCAGCAGGGTTAAAGAAGGGAATCCCAGCTCTAGGCTGCTTCCAGGGAATGCTTATTACCTATGAAGGCAGACGTAGATTAGGGTAAGGAAAGGTTCACCATGGTAACGCCAATCAGGAGAAGGCTGGTGGGGCTCTGCTAATGTCACAAAAAGCAAAAGACCATTGCTGGGGGGTTGGGGAGGAAGACAATTTCATCATGGCTGTGCACCTATTCACAGCAATAGGACACAAACTGCCAAAGGTTACTTGAGAAAAGATAGATCACCCACATAGCACTACGTTTATGAAAGAAATGACGAAGGAAGCCCCAGGTTGAGGCGACCTCTGCAGGGAAATCCTCCAAACCATTAGAGAAGAAAGGGAACCAATTGTACATGACTCCCCAAGGGAGCTGAAGGGAGCATGTGCTCCCTGATTGATCCTGCTCCCCAGAAGACTGCTGAAAGAATAACACAGCAAACCAAAGATTGGGGGAAATAGTTGCAAAGCACACATCTGATACTCAGCAGCCCAAAACAAAAATGAGGAATATTTAAGTGAGCAGTTCCCCACAGAAGGAATGGGGGTGGCCAGCAAGTGCATGAAAACACGCTCAGCCCCATTGGTTTAGAGGAAACGCTAGTGAAACCCGTGATGAGACAGTACCACGTGTGCTGAATGGGAAGACCACTGGTGAAGAGCATCCAGGGTGCAGGGGAGCCGCCAGTGGCACAAGGAGCATGACCACCACTTGGAGAGCCCGTTTGGCAGCACCTTCAGCATTAGACACCCATCCGTCAGATGAGCTTAGTGTCTGCGTGCCCCTTGCTGCAGCCTCCAACCCCAGCACCTGGACACGCCATGGGCTGCATGTCAGTGATAACTCAGCTGGGCTCTACAAAGAGACGACACATGTCTGATGCAAGCACACGGGGTGTGCAGCTCCATGTTCTGCGTCTTCCCAGTGGGAGCACCTTATGAGCACATCCCTAACCATCAAAAATTCTGTGTTTCATGCCCAAGTAACATCCCAGCATATGGAAGCTTGGCAACTTACTTACTCTTTTGTCTTTGTTGGGCACTGGGGTCATCTGCTGGTTTTTCACACTCAAATGATGCTATGATAAACATTACATAAATTTGTTTATATCTGTGGGTTATCTGTGAAAGTTAGGTTGCCAGAGATGGTGTTACTGGGTCTTCTGTGTTCCGAGTAGGCTCAGGATTCGGAGCTGCCACCAAAGCCATGTGCATCGGCATGCGGTACTGGAAGCCAGAGCGTCTGGAGACCCTAGTGGAAGTGAGCATCGAGTGCGGCAGGATGACCCACAACCACCCCACAGGTGATGTCTCCACGGGCAGACCACGCTGAAACTGTACCCACTGTTCGATTTGTTTACTTGGTGGATGCAGGCTTCTCCATCTCAGTTCTGCTTACACTGCTTTTGACCTAAAAGCAGGCTTGGCATTGAGTGTGATGATACTGGGGTGGGAAGAGTCCTCAGCAGGTTCAGTGTCATTTCGCCAGGATAAAAGGAAAAGAAAAGCACCAGTTATCTGGATGCAGTGAGGATCTGGTTGACTCATGGGCATCAGCATTTCTGTTGCCATCTGCTGCCAGGTGCCACACTGGTTGGGGGTGGGGGTCTGAACCAGCCCAGTGCTCACTGGCCACATGAGCAGGACCACCTCAACGCCCGTGCCTCTGTTTCCCCACCTGTCACAGTGGTGACTGTGGTATTGAGAGCCAGGCCTCCTTGTGCACAAGAAAAAGTGCCTGGAGCGACCCCTCTTGGCTGGTGCTCTGGGGAGCAGGCAGGCCAGCTGTGCCCAGGGTTCCCCACCGTGTGCCCATCACAGAGATGGAGGGCAGGCGGGGCCCCAGCGCATGATGGTGACTCATGACCTAGAGAGTCAGTCAGCTCCTAATTTAAAAAAAAGAATGACTTGAAACTCATACACCTGTAAACACTCTTGATTGATGGCAGTGACACGCCCTCCCCAGCCCCTGACACAGCCTGCCAGCTGCTCTCCTACGACTTTCAAGGCCACTTCATCTTTAAAAAAAAAAAAAAAAAAAAAAAAAAAGCTTTTATTTATTTATTTATTTATTTATTTATTTATTTATTTGAGAGAGAGCATGCATACCTGATCAGGGGGAGGGGCAGAGGGAGAGCCCCAGAGCCACATGCAGGCCTTGAATCCAGGACCTGGGATCATGACCTGAGCCAAAGGCAGATGCTTAACCCACTGAGCCACCCAGGTACCCCTCATGGCCACTTTCAAATTATTTTATTTTATTTATTTATTTATGATAGTCACACAGAGAGAGGGGCAGAGACACAGGCAGAGGGAGAAGCAGGCTCCATGCACCGGGAGCCCGATGTGGGATTCGATCCCGGGTCTCCAGGATCGCACCCTGGGCCAAAGGCAGGCGCCAAACCGCTGCGCCACCCAGGGATCCCTCATGGCCACTTTCAATTCCCCCTATAAGTGGTGTAGCTCTGGGGTTGTGAGGACCACTCTGTGCCCTCCTGGCGACACCTTCACAGGGCCACGTCCCTTAGACCCTTCAGTCTGTGTGAAGGGCATAGAATTCAAGCAGCTGGCGCACCGGGGCTGACTAGGAAGACTCAGGGCAGAGCCATGGCTCACTGGGGCTTCAGCTGGAAGTGGATGGTGCCTGGGAAGCCCCGACCATGATGGCAAGGAGCATCTGGAGACAATATGACCAGCAAAAGAGTCTGGGTCGAGATTAGCTAATGTTATTATTAAAGGGTTGTTTCATGTAATTTGTTTCTAACTTAAGACTGGATGGAATGTTGAGGGTTTGGTCAAATGTGGGCAGCACCAGGAAGGGCATTGACTCCTGTACAAGTTTCCAGCCACCTCTGGCAGCAAGCGTCATGGCCTTATGGCCATGTGCACATCCCAGATGCTAGATACCCCACAAGGGGGCAGGGTGACAGCAGGTGGTTGGGACAGTAATGGATCTGACAGCGGGACCCTCACTCCCAGCCCATAGTGAGGCCTCACAGACTGGCCCGCAAGCCATCGAGAGGGTCTCCGGAGATGACCATGCCTTTTCCCAGGTGGTTGTGGCCTCTGTGTGGCTCTGCACCTCAGGCTGGCCTGGCGGGCTGTCCTCTGTGCGTAGGGCCATCTGTCCCCCTAATCGACTGCCTTTGCAAGGTAGGTGTGGCACCCTCTGAGTGGGAAGCACCCTATGCACAGAGCCTACCTTGAGCCTCTGTGTCTGGCCCACAGGCTTTCTCGGGTCCCTGTGCACGGCCCTGTTTGCATCTTATGCTGCGCAGGGCAAGCCACTGGAGCAGTGGGGCAGAGACATGATGCGGACAGTCCCGCTGGCTGAGGAATACTGTAAAAAGACCATCCGGCACCTGTCAGGTGAGCCTGGCCTCCCTCCCTGTCACACTCACACTGGCCCCCAGAAGTGGGTTGGTTTAATTCACACTCAGAGGAGGTTTGCATGGACCGGGCTCCCAGAGACATTGAGGTCTGTTTGGCCCACAGTGAAACCGAGGGCATCCTCCTGTGAACAGGCCCCAGGAGCTCCTGGCAGGAAGCAACACCTGCCCAGGGGCCCAGTATGCCATGCCAGGAGACCACACGCCGTGCTAGCTACTGTATCCAGCCCCCAGCCCTCTGCAGAGACCCCACCCTCCTGCTGTCAACAGCAGCCAGAAGGACGAGAGGGGTGCACACATAGGTTCAGTATTCCAGATGGTCCTTACATAGCCCATTCCCTGGAGAAGGACAAGGGACACACTGCTCTTCCACCTTACGGATGGCTGTGCCTGCCTGGAGGGTGAGGTCTGCTGCCACGGAGACCAGATGGGTACATGTGTCTGTCTCCACTGACTCTAAACCCACCATCAAGGGGCTCACACTGTCTTTGGCACCAGCAGAGGTCCTAAGTGATAGCATTGTTGCCGGCAGTTGGGTGAGTGGTGGCCTGGCAGATCGGACTCAAGAGGCAGGTGCAGGACTCAGAAACTCTGGCTTTGTCCTCGGGTGGCCACTCCCCTGCAGGATTCCTTCCCCTCGGGGAGGGATGGGTGCTGTGAGCGGTATAAGCAGCTCCATGTGGCCTTGAAAGTTTGGAAGCTGTCCTGGAGGGTTTCTGGAATAGTTATCCTGCCTGTCCCGGGGTAGTGGGACCAAAGGCACAAGTGCAGTGGCAAAGTTATTGGTTTTCTAGCTCAGGGCTGAAGTCTGGAGATAGAGAGCCAGTGAGTCACTTTCCTGTCACCTCTGATGAGTGGGGACTCATTCTCAATGTCTCTCAAGAAGCTTCCAGAACAACTTCACAAGGAGAACGTTGCTTCTCCTTGTGCCAGGTCATAGCTGGGAAACTCTTATCTCCAGGGCCTGTTCCCATGAGAATCAGAGAGCCTCACATCCACAGTGAACTTAAGTGTCCCTCTATAAACTTAATTATAGAACAGAGCTCCACAATCACCTTATTTCCGACCCTGGGGCTCTCTGTAGTGAGCACGCTGCCTGGGGTCACCGGGATGGTCATGTGTCCAGCCCAGGGAGGATCACCTCCTCCCACATGGGAGTCTCAGGTAAACAGGCCAGTGAGGGCTACGCAGTGGCTGCATTCCCATCGTGTCACGGTTGAGACGATCCCCCCGGAGGTCTGGCTTAGCCCAGGGTGTCCTGAAGAGCAGCCGTCAGCAATGCTCCTTGGGCAGGAATGGGGAGGACTGCCATGGGTCAGAAAATCTGATACTTTATTCTTGCTGTTTAATTTTAAATTTGTTTAATCTGGAGCTTTTTGACCTTGTATGACACACCCTTTTTAACAGAAACCCAAAATCCTCCAGGGAAAGTCATGTTCTGTTCACCCAGGGCCCTCTGCTTAGTGGTAACATCCCCTGGCAGTAAAGACAACTGGCAAATCAGTTCCGTGTTTTTTGTTTTAAAGATTTTATCTACTTATTCATGAGAGACACAGATAGAGGCAGAGACACAGGCAGAGGGAGAAGCAGGCTCCCTGTGGGGAGCCTGATGTGGGACTCCATCCCAGGACCCCAGGACCACAACCTGAGCCGAAGGCAGATGTTCAATTACTGAGACTCTAGTTCCATATTCTAATGTTTGGACTTCTCTTTTTTTTTTCTAAAGATTTATTATTACTATTATTTATTATTATTATTATTATTATTATTATTATTATTATTATTCATGAGAGACACAGAGAGAAAGAGGCAGAGACACAGGCAGAGGGAGAAGCAGGCTCCATGCAGGGAGCCCAATGTGGGACTCGATCCCGGGTCTCCAGGATCAGGCCCTGGGCTGAAGGCGGCGCTAAACCGCTGAGCCACTGGGGCTGCCCTAATGTTTGGACTTTTGTGTCCAGGAGGGAAGCAGTAGTGCAGGGACCAAGCCCTGGTCTCTGTGGGGCAGCTGGGGCTTCCCTGTCTGACCCTGTCATCTCACCCCAACCTTAGGTCAGCTTTGCTTTCAGTTTTATAAAGTAGACTCTGGCCAGCTTTTCCAGGGGCCTGTTGTTCCCTGGGGACCTGGAGCCGCGCCCCAGGACCTGTCCCTGAGGGTCGGTCTGCAGCCGCCCAGCCCTCCCCTATTCCCCAGGCTCTGTCCTCGACTCCTGCCCATGATAGGAGCAGCAGTGGCCACGGTGTGCTGGCCCAGGCTGGAGGGCCCACAGGGGCTTGTGCCTCTCAGGTTCTTGGAGGACACAGCACGGTCCTCCAGCTGCACCTGCCCAGCTGCTGCCACGAATGTCCTCTTCATTCAACACCCCTGGGACTGGCGCGCTGGGCCATTGGCCAGAAGGGAGAAAAAGCCTCCTCCTGGGCTGCCTTGCATCAGTGAAGAGATACAGGCTCAGAATTTCCAAGAGGATGCTCTTTGAAGAACTTTACTCCCTGCTCTGGGTTCAGAGTAGAGTCAAGCAAGGTTCGGGGTTGCTTTGTCCTATGTCTCCATTTTCCTCACTCGTTTCAAAGTAGCTGCAGACATGAGCATCACCGGGGGAGGGGGCTTGGCCTCCACCTCCTACTCCTGCCCGAAGGCTACCCGCCCACCGTCCATGTGCCCTGGCTGGTGGCCCTCGTGTGCAGCCTGGTCTGTTCTTTATGTTCAGAATACCAGGAGCACTGGTTCTACTTTGAAGCTAAGTGGCAATTTTACTTGGAGGAGAGGAAACTCAGTGAAGACACGGGAAGTAAAGCCATCTTCCCTGACCACTATGATGCAGAGGAGAGGGACAAGGTGAGTCTTGCCTGGTCGGGGGGTGGGGATGGGCTGTCAGGGCCCACTGCCCGGGATCCCCACCAAGGAGCCGCTGCCACTGGACTGCGCCTCTGCCATGTCTCGGGCTTGGCCTAGGGGGCTCCCCTGGCAACCAGGGGCCCAGAGCCACTATGGGGGTGGGCCTGGAAGCCTTCCTGGAGGAAGCATGTTTCAAACAGATAAAATTTTATCTTTCCATTTTCTCTAATTAAAAGCATGGTTGTGCTAGAAATTTTGAAGATGTAATTGTTAAAGATATTCTATTTCACCACATATTTTCTAAGGGCCAGGACATGAGGTCATATGTGATGAATCAGGCTGTGCACACCATCACCCTTCCTCATGCTGATGTTGTCAGCATTGTTTTTTTTTTTTCTTTTTAATTTTAAAGTTATTTTATTTATTTATTTTTTTTAGTTTTTTAAATTAATTAATTTTTTTTTAGCATTGGGTTTGGTAGCACAAGGGAAAGACCTGATTCACCGTAGCTCAGCCAAGATAGACACTACCCTTATGTTCACAAAGCCCGCAGCTGAGTTGAAAGTCCCTCGCAGTGAGCAGCTGAGGACATTTCTCTGTGGCTACTTGGCCATTCTGAGTACACAGCTGTAGTCCAAGCTGGCTGCCCCAGCTCCAGCCAGCACGTCTGCATTCTAGGTGTTAGGGAGGCTCAAGGGGAGAGGTGCTCCCTACCACCCCTCCGTGTGCCCCTCACGGGCCTCTCTGGAATGCAGGCAGGCCTAGGGGTGCGGTCCTTCAGATGGAGGTGCTGCTGCCCCAAACCAATGCTGAATCTGTCGCTCGGGCACAGAGGTGAGACTTTCCCGGATCCCGGCTCTCTGCAGTCTTTCTGCTCATGGTGCACCCACAGGGCATCACTGCACCGCCACCAGGCCCTGACCCTAGGCCTTGGTGCCTGCTGGCCCCAAGCTCTGCTCAGACAAGGGCTGCATGTGTCCCAGCAGCCCAGTCACTGGCTCTAAGCCCCTTGCTGGACTATGATGTCACCACAGACTCGCCAGCTACCCCAACACGTGGTCAGGTGATCTGTGGACTGTCTGCATCCATAGGAGCTGCGAGAAGTTGATCTTCCCTCTGCACTGTCACCCCCTGCCCCGGGACAGTGCTTGGCACACAGGTGGTAATCCATCAGTGCACAGCGAGTATGTGAACAGCAGAGCCCTGGACAACCCAGGAGGCGCATGCTCTGGCGCCAACTGACACTGGTTTTACTATGGCTATGTGCCCCTGACCCCTAGGCCTTTCTTTAGGCTTACAGGAAATGGAGTTCGGAAGGCCGAGGGGGCCGGCGGGGCCATGACGCTCCTATGATTGCCTATGATGCTCTCCTTGGAGCCGGGGATGACTGGACGGAGCTCTGCCACCGGGCCATGTGTCATGGAGGTGAGATTGCCTTCTTTAATGGTCTTGGGCTTCCAGGCAATCAGCACCCCTTCTCATCCCAAAGTGCGCTCCCAGCACGTCCGAGGCTACAGGCATCAAGGGCAGCCTCCTGAACCCCAGAGTATGTGTCCTTCCCTGTGCAGGGTCCTGCCTCATGTGCCCATATGAGTGTGAGCTCAAGAGAACAAGGCATCGGGGGAGCCGTGGGGCGGCCCTGTGGGTACAGGCAGCGCACAGTCCTGAGGACTCACTCTGTAGCCCCCGGTCCAAGCCCTCCCATGGTGGCTGTGACTGTTGCCCGGCTGGGCAGGACTGCCCTGTGTCCTGGTGCCCACGCTCTCCTGTGGGTGTGAAACGAGGGCATTCCAGCAGCTCGTGCTGGGCACAGTGTGTCCTGGACATCGGGGCCCCTCAGTTCCTGGTGCTGAGGTGGGAGAGACACCAGCACCACCCAGTGGATGTGGGTCTGTGGATAGCTCAGGCATTTGCGCACACTTGTGTGTCTCAGTGTGCAAGGAGGGAAGGAAGGGGCAGCAAATCCACCAGATTGGTGCACCCAGAGCAAAGCTGGGGTTTGGCCCAAGGGCGAGGGCTGCCCACAGGACCTGTGAGATGGGCTTTGGCAAGGAGAACGTGCGCTTCCCTTCCAGGTGAGAGCGGGGCCACAGGGACGATTGCGGGCTGCCTGTTTGGGCTGCTGCACGGCCTGGACACTGTCCCCGCGGGCCTGTACCAGGACCTGGAGCACAAGGAGGAGCTGGTGCAGCTGGGCGAAGCTCTATACCGCCTGTCCACGGAGGAGAAGTAAAGCTCTCCCGCCGCCAGGCTCTGGGTCCCCAGGGGCATCTCCGCACTGCTCTTGGCCCTCCCAAGAGGGCCGACGCCTAAATGGCCATAATTATATTTTAACTGACCCCCCATTGCCAAACTCTAACTGCCTATGAAATGCACTGTCTGTCCTAGAGAATGTCTGTCCTGCTCACATGTGGCCCCTTGGCCCTCCTCCACACATAGCGGCACAATCTTTTGCACAATCGGTGTATTTCACTCTGGGCAGAACTAATGCTACTTGCTCACTCACGCCAACAAAACTAATGTGACGGCCGAGCGTGGACAGAGCCCACGTGCCCGCCTGCCCCTGGCCTTGGCCTCTGGCAGAGCCGCCAGGCTGTGCCTTCTGCAGCAGATGGAAGCACGCACTTAACTCCTGCTGACGTCTTTAATCACACTAGATCTTTAAAACCAGCCCCTTTGGGACAAATGCCTGAGGAAACCGGGGAATAAAGGGCCCTTGTGTGTCACCTGCATCTCCTCCTGTGTGGTCTGCAGTGGTTACGGGGCTGATGGGTCCACCCACGGCCACCACCTGCTCCACCAGGCTCGTGCTGACACTCCTCGTGGCCGGGGTGTCTGTCTGTGAGTCTTGAAAAAGAGAACTCTCTCTTTTCTTAAAAATGACCTGGGACACAACATTTGTGAATTAGCATCTGGTGTGAATAAAAGAGCAGTTGGTGTTTCACGGTTAACATGGAGCTTTGGTGGCTTGCCCGGGGCCGGCCCGCTGTGCCAGCGCTCTCTTCATGGAAGGCAGCTTCGGAGCGTGGCCGGCGGCCCCCCGAGCCCATGGGGTCACCCCCTTTCTTCTCAGGCCTGCCTGAAGGCTTTGTGCCAGCTGGCAGGCGAGATACCCTGGGGGAGTGGCTGGCAAAAGGGCATCTGGGTCACTCAACTAACCTTTGCTGCTGTTGGTGCTTTCCAGTGGGAGGGGGTGAAAAGGCACAGGCCAAGCTGTCTGGGCTGCAGGGGGTGGGGACGGCCACCAGCGTGCCCCTGAGAAGGTAAGCTGGCTCACCCTCATCACCTGCCAGGGGGGCCCTGGGACCACATACCAAAGCAGGCACTGGGTTGGAGGCCCGGTCAGCCGCAGGGGAGGTGGCTCTTCATCCCACTGACAGTTAGGAGAACCCATTCCATCCTGGGGAATCAAGAAGTGGGCCTAGTTACAGGTTGATTATAAAACATTTCAGCAAAACTTCACAGGACCTGGGAGAGGAGCAGATGGTCTCCCCATCTCCCTGCAGAGAAATACACATGCTGAAGAAAACAAGACCACAGAAGGCAATGGGGTGAACAGTGCACCCACTCAAATTCTGAAACATTTTATACCTGTGATTTCATCTTTATTGCAGAGGAAACACACCACACAGCTTCTGAAATGCAAGTGCCATACATGGTGGTGTGTGGAGAGTGGGAGGCCTCCCAAACTCCCAGCTACAGTTGTGCTCCCAGGCCCCTCACAGCCCCCAGAAGCAGCCTTGTGCATGACCCAGGGACTCGCACAGGCACACACGTGCACGCACACACACACTCCAGTCTCTGGCTGTGGGATATTGCACTTACTGGTGTGTGGTGTAATTCATGTAACTCAGTTGCTCCTCTTCTGTAGCGCAGATGGCTCAGGCTTGCATCCCCCCCACCCCCCCATCTGCTTCCCATCTCTGAGCAAGGACACTGGCAGTAGCTCCAGAAGTCTGCACTCCCGGGTGCAGGGCACTAGTATCTCTGTGGTCAGCCCGGAGCGAGTCCTCACCATGTGGATGGCACTCCCCCAGCTGTGCTGGTGCGTGCGGGGCTCGTGGGAAAGGGTCTGCTCTCCTGCCACCCCCAGGGCCCCAGGTTGGAGCAGGTGCTCCCCTCTGCTCACACGCTTCTGCACATCAGGCTGATTTGACTAATTCCCATCCCCAGACTCTTTGGTTAAGAGGTTTTGCATTTAGATTTTGAATCCTTGATCCCAGTGTTTTGGTTCCTGGAAGCCAGACGGAAGGTGGGTTTGGCAGCAGGGGCAGCCCACCCGGTAAGTCACCCGCGAGATCAAAGTGGTCTGCTCAGGCGGTCCAGCGGCACAGCGGCCTCAGCCCGTTTCCAGGGGGTGGGGGCAGCAGGTGTCACCACTGCCCCTCATACATGGCATGGTCGGAGCTGTTGGTGAACTGAGAACTTAAACCCAGCCTGCCTGCAGCCCAGCCCCACTTCCCAGCTGTCCACCAGCCTCCCCCATGCAGTGACACGTGTCTCCAGCCTCAGGCCCACCGACCCTGGAGCAGACAGCATAGGGGGCTCAGTCAGGTGATCTCAGAGGGAACCGGAAACAGTCCTTGTTTCTGAGAAGGCCGCTGGGGACACGGGGCCTTCTCAGAGCCACAGGCCATGGGGACACGCCAGGGACATCCTAACCTATGTATTGGCCCTCGGCCCACGTCCATCCTGCCCCATTGTAATTCTTTCCAAGTACATTAAAACACAAAAAGTCACCAAGGCCCCAGACACCCCCTCCAGGAGCTGTTCACCCTGGGCCGATCGCTGCTGTGTTACTACGGGCCTCATGTGCCTAGTGTCTCTCTCCATGGGCACTCAGTGATGCAGACGAATGTGACCAGCAGCGGCTGTGCCGGGGTCCCCACGGCCTGCCTATGCCCCCCCATCAGCTGGGGCTGGGCTGACGCCCCTCTCTCCCCATAGCCAGCCAGCTAGGGGCTTGGGGGTGGGGCCAGGGGCACCCTAACCAGGCCAGCGAGCTTCACTTCTAGGAAGACACAGGGGCTCAGGTAGCCTGACCCTGACTTATGGCACAGTTTCAGCCCCACTACCCCTCATGGCTCCAGGTGGCAGAGGTGGCCTGCTCAGGGAGGCGACCTGCTCAGGGAGGCAGCCCACCGAGCATCTGCAAGGACACCTCCACAGGGGTGCAGGAGGGCGTAGGCTGCGTGGGGCAAGTGGGCAGGCTTGCTGGGCCAGAGGGCTGCAGTGGGCAGGAAAGGGTGAGTGCAGGTCACTGCAGAGCAAGGGATGCCATGGGGGCACAGCTCTCTGTGTGGAAGCCTCTGAGCCCCGCAACTACTGTGGGAGCAGAACCGTGGGTGTGACCCTGGCTGGATTCTCGGCTTCTCTCCCTTCTCTTGAGGACACACTTGGCAGGGTGCAGGGTCCCTGCTGCCTTGGGACTCAGTGGTCTACCCAACAGTGCCTAGAAGATCTCTTATCTCAGAAGAGGACACGGGGGCCAAGGGGCATCCCCTCACTGCCCGAGGATATGCTGACGAGGGCAGAGAGGGCACAGGCCCATCCAGATCACACCCGTGCCCACTGATAAGCAGACGGTGAAGGCCAGGCACTGCCAGCCAGAAGGCCCAACTGGGAGCCCCCAGGCATGCCGTGCGGTTGGCCTCCTGAAGCCGGGGTGGGGTGGAGGGTCTCAGCCAGGGGGTGTCCTGCACACTGACCTGCCAGTGTCCCTGTGTTTCCAAGTGACCCCTCAGTTGCCAGAGGTGCCAAAAGAGCTGCCAGCAAAGTTTACATAAGCTGTGCCACTTAGATTGGCCCTGGAGAAAGGTGTTCTGGTCTGGCCCTGACATGGGCCTGGGGACGTCCGCGCACACTAGCCGGCAGGGAGCAGCCCCAACGAAGCCACAGACCTCAGCCCGCCTCTGGGAAGCACTGGCACCACAGAAACAGCTTGGCTTTGATGTGTAAACGGCTGGCACTCCCAGCTGTCCTCACCTGCATCATGCTGCTCAGGCCAGGCGCCCGGGACACAGAGAAGGACATGTGGGCCTGCCTGCAGGTCCGGGGTCAGGCAGCCACGGAAGGCCCGACCAGGGACCTCACCTCCACAGGTCCACACGCACCGAACCGTGGGAGAATTCACACCCCTGGCCATTCTGACTCAGTGACCTCAGGGGTGCAGAGGGCCAAGCTGGTACCTTGCAGGGACACTGAGGGGCCTCCACAGGACCTGTGGGACAGCATGGCCAGGCTGCTGGGAAAGGCCTCTCTGAGGAGGGCATCAGAATTGGGTCGTGAAGGTTGTGTAGGAGCTTGTCAGCAGTGTTGGCTGTTCTAGGTGGGAAGGCTCATTGTGGGGCTGGGACAGAACACGGAGCTGGGCTGCTCAGTGAAGCGTGAGGCACATGGGTCTGCAGCCCTCACCCCCAACAACGATGGGCAGGGTGAGCCGGAGCCTCAGACAGGGGCCCTCCGCAGGGTCCACTGAGTGCCTGCTTCTGCCAGACGTCGCTACAAACCCAGGGAAGTGCAGAAGAGATGGCTTTCCCATCCACACGGAGCCTACATTCTGTGGGGGGGGGAGACAGACATACCCATGTGTTTGAAACTGCTCTCAAATCTCAGACAGTGATGGTTGCTACAAAATGACCCAGGTGGGGCACTGGGGTGCTGGGGCAGGGTGCTCAGGGGGTGACCTCAGGCGGATCCTCGTGAAACCCTGAGGGTGGACCGTGGGGAGCAGAAGGAACAGTTTGTGCAAAGGCCCTGGGGTAGGAACAAGCTGGGGATCAATTGATGGCCAGTGCAGCTGGAGCAGAGTACAAGGTGGGGTCAGAGGGCCAGATGGGCGAGCTCATGGCCTGGGCACAGAGTAGCATGTCCCTGAAGAGAGGGCAGGAGCCCAGATCAGCAGCATTGTGATCAGGCACTGCACAACATCCTGCAAACAGAGTTCAGTGTTTGCCCAGGAAAGAGGTAGCAAGAGAGGTGGTGCAGGAGCAGGTGCAGCCAAGGACAGGTATCATGTTCACAGGGACCGTTACACAGAAGCCACCTATCAGAGGAGGATGTGTGGGCACCCTCGGCATTTGCTGCCCTGGGCGTCGTTCTGAATCTTCACACCTTGTATTGTGACCAGCTGGTGGGCAAAGCCACCCTGGCAAGGCAGGGCTTACCTCGGAAAGGACCTGGTGGGGCCCGTGCGCATCAGCCTCCCGACCGTCCCTGGGAGTGAGGACAGTTCTTAGGTGGTTATGGAGCAGCTTGGAGCTCACTGCAGCCCCACCGTGGGCTGGTGCTGAGTCCCCACCATGCTTCCTGACATGGAGAGGTGCTTGCCATTGAGGCCATGGCTTGGAGATCGTGGCGGGGGGTGCCCAGTGACCCTGATACCCAGAGACGTCAGAGGGACAGGGTGCAGTCCACCCTGAGCTGTTCAGACCATGGGGTCCTGGCACCCGTGGGCAAGGGAAGCTGCAGGGGCACAGGCCATGGGGCTCGTCCCCAGGGCCTGTCTCCAGAGCTGTTCCAACCATCGCACTCAGCCCCAAGCCAGGAAGGTGAATGGAAAAGGCCATGTGAGCCATGGCCTCCAGTAGGGTGGCCAGCTTCTCTCAGAAGCCCTCACCCCAGCACCCCAGGCCCCACCTGCAAACTGGGGTCCTGGGCCCAGCGGCCCCCGGGGGCTCTGCTGCTGCCACCCTGCCATGAGGCTGGGACCCTGCACACTGTGACGGGCACTCAAGACCCCGTGGTGATGGCATGTGACAGCATCAGCCTGCTGCTCAGTCCCATCATGAGCTCAGCCGTTGCTGCCAGGCTGGACCACACACCAGGTACGGAGCCCAGTGTCTAGACTCGGTGTGGAGGTGCTCAGTACTGCAGAGATGGGTGTCCAGTCGTCGGCTGGGGTGAGTGCTTTGGCCAACGCTCCAGTCGGGATGAGGCTTCCATGGGCGGC